TGGCGAACAGTTTGCCCATCCCTGCCCTGAGCCAACTTGAAAACCCGCAAATAAAATTTTAAAAAACTTTTAACGATGATGTAAAAAGAAAATGGAATGAAAAGGCTTCTGACGTATTATACGGAGAAGATGGGAAAAAAATGATAACATCATCAGCAGCATCAGACTACAGAAACAACAAAACATCAGCTCCAACAACAACAACATCATTATCATCATGAACTCCAACAACAACAACATCATTATCATCATCAAATCCACTTACATTTATCGATAAAGGCATAAGAAACGCTAAACTGAACGTTATTTGTATTACTATTGTTGATGTTATTATTATTATTACTGTTATTATTGTTGTTTTTGTTATTGTTGTTGTTGCTGATATTATTATTATTATTGATTTTGTTGTTGTTGTTATTATTTTGATAAAGTTCTGTGTGCAATTCAATGATTAAACTACGCTCGGATGAATAAAATATTAAAGGTTTTGAATGTTGTTGATGTTGTTGCTGTTGATGTTGTTGTTGATGTTGTTGTTGATGTTGTTGTTGATGTTGTTGCTGTTGATGTTGTTGCTGTTGATGTTGTTGTTGATGTTGTTGTTGATGTTGTTGTTGATGTTGTTGCTGTTGATGTTGTTGCTGTTGATGTTGCTGGTCTAATCGTAGTTGATTTTGTTGCAGTTGATACCAATGTTGTTGTTTTTCATATTGTTGTTGTTGCATTTGTTGCTGATGTTGTTGTATGTTTTGGTCTAGATGTTTCTCTTGATGTTGTTGCGAATGATAATACTGTTGACGTAATAGTTGATGTTGTTGTTGTTGACGATGTTGTTGACTTTGTTGTTGTTGTTGTTGTTGAAGTTGTTGTTGACGATGTTGTTGTTGATGTTGCAGACTGCATATTTTTGCATTGAAGCTGTTTGGGTCAACAATTTCAGGTCTCTCAAGGTTTAAATACAAGTTGAGGTAGTTGCTGCAACTGTTGTTGATGTTGATGTTGTTGTAGAGGATGATGATGTTGTTGTTGTTGATGTTGTTGTTGTTGTTGTTGTTGATGTTGTTGATGTTGATGTTGTTGATGTTGTTGATGTTGTTGTTGTTGTTTTGCTGTTTTTGTATTGAATAAATAATGTTTTTACTGATATCTTTATTTGCGTCTTAAATTTTTCATGTTGAATAAATTTAACAAGAAGGAATTTTATTTCATAAACTGCATGCATACATACACAAACTTGTACACGTACGTACATACATACATATAAACATACATACATAAACATACATATATACACATACATACAAACAAACAAACAAACAAACACAGTACAAAATACATTCATCAAATCTTAATCATTGAAGAACTAACAGAAATTCTTTCAAATTAATCGTACGTACTACGTACTTCGTATGTATGTAGGTTTGTATGTATGTATGTTTGTATGTATGTTTGTATGTATGTATGTATGTCTGTATGTATGTATACATGTATTTTTGTATGTATGCATGCATGAATGTACGTATATTTTTCTTTGTAAAGTTAAGTAAGTATTGCGAAATAAATAACTCTTGCTACAAAAAATGAAAAGAATTTTTTTTTGAGGAAGAAAATTATAAATCTTTCGCCTCAAAACATTATTTGTCCATAAAATACTTTCATTCACGCTCGTATATTTAAATACAAACAAACATACAAACAAACAAACATACATACAAACAAACATACATACAAACAAACGAACATAGATACAAACATACATACAAACATACATACAAACCGGCTTACATTTATTTATCTATACATTTATTCTTTAATGAATATTTTTATCTATTCTAGTAAATAAATAAATAATTACACAAAAAATCACACACAAGCACAGACACACACACACACGCATACACACGCACATACACACACACACATACATACTTCCAATATTCAGACCAGCCGAAATGTACGTTGAACAATCTGACCTTCACAATTTCATCAAGGTCACCGATGAATGTCAACAAAAAACAGGTACTTTTACCAAAAATACCAGGAGCTGTACCGGAAGTAGTACCAATACCGAGTCGATTTGAAATACCGAAACCGGCAGAACTTAAATTACCGAAAGAATTTTGAATTCCGGAGGAATTCGCTTTACCGATTGAATTTGAAATACCGAAACTTTTAGATCTATTAAGCGTATTGTTGTTATCATTGGTACTAGTATCATTAATTATACCCGCGTGTTGTATGTGGGGTGTGTTAGTGGAAGTGGGCGGAGCCTGGCTTGTTGATTGATAGGTGTACGTCCCCACCTTGATATCCTGGCTCTCAATGACTACACATCTGCAACCTGCTTTATGGGTTTCGGTGGTTTGCTGATATGTATGCTTGTTTGTTGGTATGAATGTATGTATGTATGTTTGTTTGTACGTTTGTTTGTATGTTACTATGTATGTTTTGGTTAAATGTATGTATGTATGTATTTATGTTTGTCGGTTTGTATGTATGTTTGTGTAATTGTTCATAATTTAATTGGAGCACGTATTTTTTAATTGTTTTCTTATTGTTTCCTCGAACGGCTTTTTAACGGCTTCGGAAAGGGACTGCCAGCTAAACGGGAGATTTGTAGAATGAGAGATGAAGTAAAAGAAAAAAGAGAGAAAGATAGATAGATAGATAGATAAATAGATAGAGAGAGAGAGAGAGAGAGAGAGAGAGAGAGAGAGAGAGAGAGAGAGATAAAATAGCGGAGGATTAAGTGATGACGCCATGTCGTTAGGGCAATGAATAAACTTAATGAAATAAGCGAAGTGCAATGTTCACACTTTCTCTCTCTCTCTTTTTTATTCTTCCCCTCTCTTTCTCTCTCTCTCTTTCCCTCTCTTTCCCTCTCTTTCTCTCTCTCTTTTTTTTCTTTTTTTCTTTCCCTCTCTTTCTCTCTCTCTCTCTCTTTTTTTCTTTCTCTCTCTCTTTCTTTTTGTCTGCTCTCTCTCTCTCTTTTTCTCTTTAACACTTTCTTTTCATTCAATTTTATTTGTCCTACAGTCTTCAGTGTTTTTTTTTATATTAAATTTTTAATTTATCTTTATTTCATTTTTTCACGTTGTATATTTCATCCAACAAGTTTTTTATTTTCCTTACACTTCTTTCAATATTTTTATTCCCGTCCATTCATTACAATTCTATATCCCTCCTTTTTCAGTTTCTCTCTCTCTCTCTCTCTCTCTCTCTCTCTCTCTCTCATTCATATTAAACCCCACAAAGCAATGGAAACTAGCAAGCAAAAAATTTAATCCGCCGACAACCATAAAAAACATAGAAAGTAAAACTTCGTAGATATATAAAAAAGACTGCATAAAAATAAACAAAGACCTAAAAACAAAGAACTGCTGACAGCAAGTAGCAAAGATAATTTATTCGATGTTTTAGTTCTTTGCAGCGTGAAGGCGATAATGATGTCATAGGAAAAACGTAAATAAACAAAAAAACACGTCAACAAAGAACAAATAAACAATGAAATTAAATATAAATATGAAAAAAACAAATAAATAATGACAAAATATAAAAAAAAAGAATACACATTTGAAATTAATTTATTTATTTACTTGCCTACTTGATTTAGTATGAAGATGGGCGTATGTGTATTTGTTTGTTGGTTTGTGTGTATGTATGTATGTATGTATGTATGTATGTATGTATGTATGTATGTATGTATGTATGTATGTATGTATGTTTGTATGTATGTATGTATGTATGTACACACGTATGTATGTGTGTATGTATGTATACATGTATGTATGTATGTATGTATGTGTGAAAATGAGCCAGAGAAGCGAAAATAATTAATTGTATCGCAGTGAGTGTGCTGGTGTGTTAAGGTGTGGTCGGCAAAATTGGTGATAAATGGTTGGCTTAATAGAGAGATTGGAGGAAGAAGAAATGTATATATTGTTTCTTCTCTTTTGTTGATGTTATTGATATTGTTGTTGTTTACGATGTTGTTGTTGTTTGTTATTGTAGTCACCATCATCATTAGTATCGTCATCATCAACCCACAATCACCATCATCATCATCATCATTATCCGTAGCAGCTGCAGCAGCGCTATCAAGACCGACAACACTCTTTTTCCACCCTTGGGATTTCCAAATTTCGATATTGTATGCGTGCGTGTATGTACGTGTGCATGTGTATGTATGTGTATATGCATTTGTATATGCGTGTATGCTTATGTGTGTGTGCCGTGTGTGTGTGTGTTTGTGTGTGTGGGTCGGTGTAAATGGCATTCTAACAATCATCATCAACATCGTCGTCGTCTTCGTCGTCATCATTTCATTTACTATTATCCGGCCAATTTTAACCCTTTAATATCATTCATCAAGTTTTTCCTTGCTTTTCCATTTAATAATAATAATAATAATAATAATAATAAATAATAATATTAATAATAATTAATTTCCATCATCATCGTCGTCGTCGTCATCTCGATTTTTTAGTCAAATCGTCTTAGTTATTACCATTTTTTGGGCAGTTCTTCATCATTATCATCATCATCATCATGAACTCCTTCATCATCATCGTCATCATGAACTCCTTCATCATCATCATCATCATGAACTCCTTCATCATCATCGTCATCATGAACTCCTTCATCATCATCATCATCATGAACTCCTTCATCATCATCGTCATCATGAACTCCTTCATCATCATCGTCATCATGAACTCCTTCATCATCATCATCTTCATGAACTCCTTCATCATCATGAACTCCTTCATCATCATCGTCATCATGAACTCCTTCATCATCATCATCATCATGAACTCCTTCATCATCATCATCATCATGAACTCCTTCATCATCATCATCATCATGAACTCCTTCATCATCATCATCATCATGAACTCCTTCATCATCATCATCATCATGAACTCCTTCATCATCATCATCATCATGAACTCCTTCATCATCATCATCATCATGAACTCTTTCATCATCATCGTCGTCGTATTATTTGAAACAAAAATAATAAGAATCATCATTATCATTACCACCAGCAGCGCACCAGCAACAGCTTCCTCGTCGCTTTTTGTTTTTTGAAAAATTTGAAGTGAGAAAAATTACAAGCAGGCCGTTCTAACGATTTTCGAGCCTCCAAAAAAAAAACGAAAAATTTTTTTGTTAAAGTCATTAATAATAATAATTATTATTATAATTACAACAATACTTAATTATAATAAAACTTATAATAATAATAATATCAAAATACTAAATATTAATAACAAATAGGTAAGAAAACACTTGGAGCCTGTGGAAATATTGGAAAATATGATGGAGAAGATACGAGAGTTATGAAAATTAGTTGGACCTCTCATACTTCGAATGCTGATGTATTAAAACAGTCCGGTTATGAAAAGAGAAAATTTTTACAGATAATCCGACGGGGGCAGTTAAAGATTTTTGGTCACATCATGCGGAAGGAAAGAATGGAAAATCTAACAACTTCTGGAAAGATTGCAGGGAGAAGAGATCGCGGTCAACAACGAACAACATTTGTGAAGTCCTTGTGCCACTTGTTGAATATCACCACTTTTCAACTCTTACAAGCTCTTACAACAAGATCGGGTTTTGTGGAGGTCGGTGATCGCCAATGTCCTGAAAAGATAAGGCACGAGGAAGAATAAGAAGAAGATTTGTAAGAATATTAATAATGAGTTGTAATATTATTACCAGTTTTAATGATAGTTCAGTTGATGTAGTAGCAGATGTAGTAGCAACAGCAGCAGCAGCAGAAGTAGTGGTAGTAGTGGTAGCGGTAATAGCAACAGTGATTTTGTACAAAGGATTTATGTCAATATTAACGGTTACAATTTGTTACGGTTACAATATAATTTTTGGATGATAAGTATTGATGACATGATGCGATGAAAAAATATGACATACAAACACACACACACACACACACACCAATGCATACAAATATACATAGATAAAAACACAAACACACAGATACACACACACAAATGCACATATACAAACATACATACATGCATACAAACATACATACACACAATAAAAAACTACAGAACGTCATAAAATTTTATCAAAATTTTTCGTCATAACGGCATAAACAACAACATCGGTAACAATAGACAACGAAAGCAAATACAAAAACAATTCTTAAATAATAATAATAATAATAACAATGATAGATCATAATAACAAAAATAAAAAAAACAAAAGAATGAAACTAGCCAAGATAAATAGTGAACATACGCCTGGGCTATCAATAACAATTTACGGTCTCTATGTGTGTATTTGCAATATACATGCATGCCTCTTTCTTCTCTTCCTTCTCTCTCTCTCTCTCTCTCTCTCTCTCTCTCTCTCTCTCTCTCTCTCTCTCTCTGTCTCTCACCTTTTCTCTAGTTCTACCTCTCTTCGCTCTTTACCTAGTTGTGTCTTCTCTTTCTTTCCTTTCTCTTGCTTTTTTACGGGTTACATAGCTTTCTTTTTTCTCTTTATGTTTTTCATTGGTTCTGTATTTTTTACTTTCTATCTCTCTTTCTCTCTTTCCCTCTCTCTCTTTCTTTCTTTCTCTTTCTCTCTCTCTGTTATCTAGTTCTACCTCTTTTTCTTGCTTCTGCTCTATTCTACTTTATCTGTCTCGGCAGCAACTTCATCATAAACAATGAATCATCAGCAACATCAACAACAACATCATCTTCATTCTCGTTATCAGAAGCAGCAGCAGCAACAACAACAACATCATCTTCATTCTCGTTATCAGAAGCAGCAGCAGCAACAACAACAACATCATCTTCATTCTCGTTATCAGAAGCAGCAGCAGCAACAACAACAACATCATCTTCATTCTCATCATCGTTATCAGAAGCAGCAGCAGCAACAACAACAACAACAATAGTAGCATCTTCACCATCAGCAACAAAGCATCGTTAGGAATAATGAACGAAATAATCACAAGCAACAATATGACGACATTCTTTTATTTCATTATTTCATTCTGTCGTTCTCTCTATCTTTTTCTCTTTCTCTTTCTTTCTCTCTCTTTCTATCTCCCCTCTAACTCTTTCTTTTTCCATTAATTTTTTTTGTTTTTGGTTTGTTTTTACACATCATTCATTTTTTCATTATATTTTTTCACCTACTTCTCCCGTATCTCTACTTTTTCATTCATTTTCCACTCGTTCTGTCAGTCTCTCTCTCTCTTCTCTCTCTCTTTCTCCTTCTCTCTCTCTTTCTCTCTCTCTCTCTGTATTATTCTTCCTTTATTTCCAGTCAACCAATAGTCTTCCATTGCAGAGAGAGGTGGTAATTATGTAACGCTCATTCAACTGACCACCTTACGACAAGTTTATAAGTAGTTTTCTTTGTTTATTTTCCATTCTATGCTCTTCCTATTTTAATTTCTTTGCTGTGTGATTATTTTGCTGTGTTTGTATGGAAAAAATTGATTAGATATATACAAACTTAAAACATACAAATGTTTTTTGTGTGTTTTATATAGGTAACCAAAAGGAAAAAATGCAATTGAGCACCACGCGAAAGACCATAAGATGCGAAAAAGCGAACAAGCAATACTAAGTAATGGAGAGAGAATACATAAATTGGGCTTTGAAACTTGTGTACGAAATAACGCGTTTTGTATAAACACACACACACTCACACACACACATACATACATACACAAACACACACATACACAAACGTACACAAAAACATACACAGATGATGAACGAGGAATTAAATA